CAAAAAGGAGCAGCACACGTGACATCAAGCTTGTGATGTCAAAAACAACAGTGATTGGACATCAATGAGTAAAAACAGCGAAACGATCTCAGGAAATAATAGTAGGAAAGGTGGTGTGGGGAAGCAATTAAGAGAAGGGACTCAGGAGCCAGAGCGCCCGTGTCTGCACCTGCACCCCCCCCCCCGCTCCCCCCCACAAGCCTCTGTAAAACGGGCGTAATCAAAGCACCCTCCCGAGTCGTACGAGGATCAAACCAGTCGGTCTGTGAAGTGTGCAGCACAGCGCCTGGCATTCTGCCTCCGCGCCTGTTAAATAGCTAACTGTGCGGCTGTGGGAGGGGCCACTGAGGCTGCACAGTGCGGATGACATCACTCTGGGAAACACCGCAATATAGAAATGGCTGGAAAGCGGTTCCTGGGCAGGCTGGGACCCTGGAAGACAGGCTGCGGCTCTTGCTCAGGGCAGCAGTTCCCTGGCAGGCCCAGGAACCTGGATGTCATGGAGGGCAATGCAGGGGGGTGGAGGGAGAGGCTGGGGGCAGACCCGAGGGGGGGCAAGCCTGGCGGGGCGAGGGTGAGGAGCCCTGTCTGGGTGGGCGTGTGCTGCTGGGGCGGGGAACAGACCTGTGTGGGTGCGGGCGTGCCGCTGGAGTTCGTCGCTCCGTGTGAACCTCTTTCCACAGAAGAACCAGTTGCAGACGAAGGGCCGCTCGCCAGTGTGCAGGCGCACGTGGGCCCGAAGCAAGGACGTCTTCCGGAAAGTCTTGCCACAGTCGGGGATATGGCACACGTGCTTCTTCTTGCCCTGCTCTCCAGACCTGGGAATGGAGGGTGCGGTGGAGGGAAGGGGGTGAGGGTAAGGCGGGCAGAACAGGGTGCAGAGTAGATGTGGGGTCAGGTCAGAGAGCACGGAGAGGTGAGCAGGGCATCGGCATGGAGCTGCTGCCTTGTCTCCTCTCGATCTGTGTCCCAGGCAGGGAGGGGCTTGGGGAACAGGGCACACACCAGGCTGCCGGCCTGGCTCCAGTTACCTCTTGTCCCCGTCCTTGCAGTTGGGACACGTGCAGGCCATGCGGCGCCGCTTCTCCCCAGGCTGGGCCTCTCCAGACAGGGCCTGCTCCATCTGCAGCTGGATCTGGGTGGGGCTCAGCCCACTGATGGTCAGGTTGTTCCCGGAAACGTTCTGCACCGTCAGTTGCTGCTGCCCTGTGGGGAGCCAGAGGGCGTGGTCTGCAGTGAGAGGCCTGAAGGGGCAGAGCAGGGAGCCTGATGCCCTCCTTCCCTTCTGCACGTAATAAGGATGACCACAGCAGCCAATGCTTTCGAGAGCCTGTTATATGCTGAGTGCCATTCGGGAGGCCTGAAACTCCTTCAACCTTCAGTACCCTGTAAAACAGGTACTATTATCCTCCTTTCACTTTGAAGAAACTGAGGCTCAATCCCGTATCAAGGTCACACAGCCCTTAAGTGGCAGAACTCAGACCTGACCTTCAGAGGCAATGCACACTGCACCACTTCACCACACCGGCGGGGTCTGCTTTCAGACGCTGCCTCTGAACTCGGAAGGGTTCTCGTCTTGAGTTGTCTGGAGGAGTGTTTCTTACAGAATTTCCTCCAGCCCTAGGCCCTTGTGAGATACCAACTCTGCTCTCAGCAGTCTCCAGGGGTTTGTGTTAACAGGAGTAAGAAAACAGTTCTAAGGGCTCTGGAAAAAACCAAGTCCTCTAGGACGTGCATAACACCTTTCAGAGCAGGGCGTGCCGCTGACCTACTGCCAGCGTTAAAGCACTGCTGCCCCGACAGGGCCCTTTTGCGAGGGAACGAAGGCTTGGCCGGAACCGTTTGCTAGGCGGCCGCAACATTCCTCTGATGATCTGCAAGGCTGCTTTCAAACTCTGAAGTGCTACCAAAGATTCCCACTCGGCTGAAGTGAAACACAAGCCATTCTCACTGCCAAAAGCTCCCTCCCTTCTCTCCGACCTTAACTTGGGCTGTGCTCATTCTGGAGGCCTTCCGTTAAGTTTCTTTACCCAGGGCCTCCCTGGAACATGTGTCTCTGGTCTGGAACAAACTAACATGCAGTTGCATGTCAGCTGGAGAGTTCTCCTGAGTGTATCTCATTTTCTCTACCACCGTCAAGGTCTTCTGTTGTCAGAGGGGCCAACGTACATCCTTTTTTTAAAAAAGATTTTATTCATTTATTTTTAGTGAGAGTGGAAGGGAGGGAGAGAAACATCGTACCCATCCAGGGACCTGGCCTGCAACTCAGGCTTGTACCCTGATTGGAGATCTAACTGGTGACCCTTTGGTTTGCTGGGTGATGCCCAACCCACTGAGCCACACCAGTTACCACCAACATACCCCTTAAACTATCTCACAGGGCTACCCAAGAGGCCAAGTGGACACGCTTTAAAGCTGGCAGGGATGAGGGCAGGCAGTGCCCTCGCTGTGTTACTGGGCAGCACAGGGCTGGCCTGCAGTTCCCACGTGAGGGATGTACAGGCACACCACCCGCGCCCTGGCCCGGGGCCTTCTCTCACCGCCGGTGTTGGTGATGGTGACAGGTACGCCCTGGACCTGGACACCGTTGATGTTGATGGTGTGCATGGCCTGAGCTGCCGCCGCCAGCTGGGCCGCACTCAGGCTGATGATGCTCCCAGCAGGGGCGATCTTTGGCAGGGGTCGCTCTTTCCGGAGAATTGCTGCTGAGTGTTTTTTGCTGGCCCCGCTCGGATGAGGAGCTCGGGATGCAGGGCTGTTACAAGTGGTGGCAGAGGTGGCCGTAGCTGCTGCTGGGGGGCTGTCCTGGACAAGGACTGTCTGCACCTCACCGGAAGGCGTGCGGATGTAGACCTGGGAGGGACCAGAAGGAAAAGTCAGTGTCCCAGTAGAGACTGGGCTCCTGGCACCTTTTGGTGAGTGCGGCGTCATCGCCCCGCCCCAGTGAGAAGCGGGGGTGCCTCTCTGTCTGCCCAAGTCTTCTCCGACCAGCCCACACCTCCGTACGTCCAGGCTGACGTCCACCAAAGGTCTCACAGCATCCTGTGCTAGGCTGGCAGACAGTGACCGTTGATTTGAAACCAAACATTTAATTTATTTAGCAGGGAAAAAGAGAAATGCCAAATCTCAGAACTGGAGAATCAGAAGGCAACTAAATGATGACTTCACAAAAGATGCAATCACCATGAAATGGAGGAGAAAAGCTCTTCTCTTAATTTGGAGAAACAGCTTCTCTCCAGATTGGCAAAGATGGAAGAAGAAAACACCATGTTTACTGTTGGTGAGGGAGCAGGGGAGCAGGCGCTCGCTCTTACACTAGGAGTCGGGGTGTGGGGCGAGTGTCCCGGCTGGAGGGGAATTTGGGAGTATGAGAAGCCTTAAAAATGTGCGTGTGAGGGCCTGCTGGGGTAAGGAGGGCCTGGAAGAGCTGCAGCGGTGGTGGGAGGCCAGTCATGTTCACAGGGACTGACCCAGACAGGACACACATTGAGGACAGCGGGAGTGAGGATTCTCACTGTCAGAGAAGGGAGGTACAAACACGGGAAGGGCGAAAACTGAAACGAACCCCGTGGTGCTGGGTGGGAGTTGGAGGTCTTGGTAAAAACTCTTGGGTTTATTTATATCTCTCTATCTATATACACATATCAGATGCATAGATAGATAGAGCAGAAAGAGGACACTAATGGAAAAACCAATAACATCCGAAAATAGCCTGGGAGTTTAGTTACCAGTAATGTCTGGCGTCAGTTTCTTGCTTTTGACGAACGTCCCCTGGTGATAAGATACTTAACAATGGGGATGCTAGTGACAGATACACTGCACTACCACCACAGCCTTTCTGTAAATACAGACTTACCCTAAAATCAAGTTAATTTTTAAAATCTCTATCATAGTAAAAGATACCAGAACAAGTGGGCAAAGATCTGGTGAGGAATGGGGTCTTCACAGTCTCAAGGTGACACTCCTGGGGAGAACACACACACACACACACACACACACACACACAGCCTGTGTCCAGTCTGGAGCAGACGTCACAGAAACCTATACTGAGGAGCATTCTACAAGATAAACACCCTGTAGCTTGTAAGGACTGAGGCGCTGTTCCAGATCCAAAGAGACTATGGAGACCTGATGATAAAATGCAGTGGGTGGCGATGGGTGAGAGACTTTTGCCACAAAGGAATTATTAGGAGAAGCGGCGAGACCTGAATGGGCCTCGGAATCACGACATCCACGTGTCTCTCCGCTGCTTTCCCACGTCCGATGGCCGGTGGTTGTGTAGGAGGTGCCTGTGTGTAAGCATCACACACTTTCCACAAAACGTTTGGTGGCAACTTACGTTCCAGTGGTTCAGGGAAAAAGTTATTTGTAAAAAAAAAATCCTGCGGTGATTCGACGGGGGTTATTTTTGATTCCTAAATTATTTTAGGGCCATGTTCCTCAGTTAAAAGCAAACGAACAAATCTCAAGTCATCCCAACATACAAAGTTCATTGCCAGTGTTCTGGTGTGTGCCCTTTTGAAAGGCACTGCTATTTTCTGTGTATCTTAAGTTTCTGCTACCAGGAAAGTTCCTGGTCACAACGTGGGGCAGGGACCAGCAACCCTTCTCTGCAAAGGGCAGGCAGTGGGTACTGCTGGGCTCTGCGGGCCACGAGGTGGCTGCCTCGGAGAGCCAACGCTGCACTGGTGGGCGTGTCCCAACTTAGATGGTCACGTCTTAAACTTTCTTTATAAAAACAGATGGGTGGGCCAGACTTGACCCGAGGGGCTGTGGACTGACAGTCTCTGATACAAAAAACAACAGATTTAAAAAAAAATGTGCACATCCTCTTACTTGCTTTTAGGAATTTATTTAGCTCTAAGGTTGGAAACAGCCTAGATATACAAGTAAAAGGATAGTTGTATAGTAGACAGGCACCTGAGGATAATGGAAAACTACGTCATCTTTAAGAAATAATGTAGCTAAATCTTTCTCTATCTGTATGACTATTTCCTTAGGAAGCCCTGGGTTTAAGCCCTGCCTCCAGCACTCTTAAGATCCAGAACCTCAGGAGAGGGAGGGGAGGCACCGCTGAGGATGTGTGCACCTGTGAGGGTATCATCACCCAGTTCTCCATCTGCAAGGTAGGCTTGAGAATGGAACCTCGCAAGTATTGTAATAAGTGAATTAAATAATTTAGAGAAAATCACTTGGCAGTACCCAATATGCCAGGGGGGAGGAGGCATTTGAGGCTCTCCTGACTCCATGCCCACAGCTCAAACTCAAGGGCACTCCTTCACCCGGCAGACCGCCCGACTTCCTGCTGTGGCTCACTGTCGCCCCAGTTCTCTCTACAGATGACTACATTACCAATTCCTCAAGGGCAAGAGCTAATATTAAAAAAAAAATCCTTGTCTCAATTTCAGTGGTAGCACCTGCCACACGTAAGACACAGTGAATCGAGGTGGAAAAAAGTGGAGGAGTTTGGGGTTGAGTCCTGCTTCTTGTCACCCATGCACTGTGATGTCTAGACACCACGTGCCTTCTCTGGTCCCGAGTTTCCCACCTGCATCAAGGGCGTTCCGTAGGCACACAGAGCGAATCAAACCTGCCTCAGAGCCAAGCATTAGAGCATCTCTGTGAATGCCAAAGATAAGAGCGTGCTTGCTCAGGTTCACATCCCGGATGACCAGCCTACATGTCCCTGTCCTCACACTCGTCTGCTGCTTCCTGTTTTTCCTTGTCATTAGCAATGATCAGCATTTGTCTCATTGTCTTACTTCACATCAAATTCTATGGTTCTGACTGGAATTTTTCCCATTCTTGCTACTGTTTTCACTATGTAATTCTATAATACCAAATATATTTTATTACTAAAAAGTAGGTATCTATCCCCTAAAAGACCTCCATAAAGGAAAAGTGGGCCACAATATAGGTAGTAGGTATGTTTCATCTGATTTCTACAGATAAGCTGTACTTGGCCCTAAGAACTGAAGAGAATCCATTTGTTAGGCAGAAGTGGCCACGCACTGCCCACCCCAAAGGATACTGACTCCCAACATTCAGATCAGATCGGAGGTCATCTTCAAAAGCAAGCTGAACAGGATGGAGCGCTAGCCAGTCAGGGCTAAGGAGAGGAAGGAAGCAGGCGCAGAGGGTGTGTGTGGTACCTGAGTGGATGTCGGCTCAGCCGTCTGGATCTGAAAGTTCTGGGAGGGCTTCTGGGGGACAGTAGGGAGGGTGGCAGATGCCGCCTGCACCACCCTCAGGGCCTGCTGGGGGATCTGCACCACCTGCTGCTGCTCGGCCTTGGGGGGCACCACCTGGACCTGCTGGACCACAGCTGGTTGGCCCCCACCAGGGCTCTGAACGATGAGCAGGTTGCTTCCTGCCTGGATGATGTTGTCCGCCGTGGTCTCGATCAGCACCGTCTCCACCTGCTCAGCCACGGCCACAGAGGGCTGGGAGGCAGGAAGACTCTTCTTCCTGGCTTTCTTGTTAGTCTTGGACAGCGGAGTGGGGGGGCTCTCCGTGAGGAGCTGAGTCGGGGCACCGGTGTCGCTGGCGTTCATGAGGTTATTGACAGGCAGAGTAAGGGTCACGTTGCCACCCCCACCTGTCAGCTTCACCACATTGGCCCCACTCTGCATGGGAGTGGTAGTTGTACTTGACTTCTGGACAGGGGCTGGCTTGATGGGGACCGGCTTGTGACTGGACGGCGAGGGGGTGATGATGGCTTGGTTGGTGCCAGGGATGATCTGGATCTGGTTGGTGAGATTAGGCTGTACTTGGATGGTCTGGGAACCGCTTGCCTGAATCTGAGAGACCGCCTGGTACTGGATGCTGGCGTTCGACCGGGTCCCTTTGCTGATCATGGTGGGGTTCTGAATGGCAAACACCAGCTGACCGCCAGGGTAGGACGCGCTCAGTTGTGAGCCCTGAATCTGAAGTATGTTTCCTTTGGATGACAAGATTCCAAAGCTGTTCTTGCTGGGGCTGAGCGGGAGCGGGGCAGGTTTGATGGGGACGAGCTTCCGTGGTGTGGGCTGGGGGGGCGCAGGAGGCGTCACTGCAGCCTCAACAGCCGGAGGCCCAATTTTGCTACATGTTGCGGCGAGCAGGGCTAAGGGGGATGGCTGGGAGTCCTGCAAACACCAAGCACAGAAAAGGAGTTAGGCGTGAGGGCCTGCCGTTTAGATCCTTCTTCCACAGGCTCCTCCCCACTTCTGTGGCAGGCCGGGTGCCAGCACCCTCCCCTGCAGTGGTCCAGTCTCCCCTGCCAGGTTCTCCATTGAGTTAAGGGGAAAAGAGGAGGATATGTCTTTCTTGGGGAGCACCCCAGAAGCACCCCATGACGGGGAGTTAGCAGCATAAACCAACCACTTAGCCCCACCTCCCCCGGCCTCATTTCTAACAGGGACACACAACCACCCTCAGCTCTTGGAGTTCTGTTGGCCCGTCACAGGGATTCAGGGACCCCCAATTCCTCAACTAAGGCAAGGAGGGAAAGTGTAAGGGAGGGGCAACGAGAGGAATCAACCCTCTGGTAAAGTGTTTTCGAGTGCATGGGACAGGACTTCACTGACCAGGGAGGGCTGCTCTTTTGAGGCTACAAGGAGTCTTGGGGGGTGGGGACACTTTCTTTATTCTCCTTATACAGTCGGTCAGCAGGTTCTGGTGGCAGGGACCAGAGTCGAATCCTGCTTTTCGCCCCTGACCCAACTGTGGCACCTCGGATTAAGTGGCCACGGCTCCTCCGTTCAGAAACAGCGGCTAACGGAACCTTCCCTGGTCTTACATCCTGGGGTATCGCAGTGAGTGTGCAGCCGTGGTTGGATGGCAGCTTCAGTGAGTCCCCCCAGGCTGCTGCAGCCCCCGCCCCTCAGAGCCCACTCACCTGGGTGCTGGAGGCGGCGGGCTGCAGGTAGTCGCTGGGACTGACGGCGGCAGTGGCGGCCATGCTGCTCTGTGGATCTGCTGGGAGAAGAGCAGGGAATGCACCAGATGCCACACGGAACCCACTCGTCTCTGACGTTCCCGTGTCTCTGCTGCTGCTGCTTCTCCAAGGGAGGCCGGCGACCTCTCCCCACACTAACCCCACCCGGAAGAAGCCTTCACATGCTAAAATGTTAAAAACCATTCTATCTTGGTGGTTGAATTTTGCTCAACTTAAAAGAATTTTTCTCATTTTTCTGTATTTTGTCATTTTCTCACAATAAATGTGCTCTACTGTACTTTTTTAAATAAAGAAAAATAAAGAATGTTGAGGGAGTAACAAAGGGAATCTCCGATCTCCGACCAACGATAAGTATAACGTAGGCACAGTGGGAACTGTGAGAGTTTGGGGGAGAGTCTACACCATCTCAGTTCCTAAATCACTGAAGAAAAGCACACTGGGCAGAGCCTGACCTGTATCTGAGACCTTTGCTTTTTATTTTTATTTTTTTATGAGGGAAAGTTCACTTAGAAAGTGACAGAGGTGGAAGTAGTCCACAGAAGACGTGGGCTTAGGAAGCAAATTACAGAAGCAAAAGGAGGGCCCTTGCAGTTTGGAGAGAGGAAGGTAAAGGTCAAGGGGAAGAGGAGGGGGACAGGAAAGGCACGGGCATGCCCAGGCGGGACGCACAGAAACGAGAGGGGTATTAACTACTTCAGAGGCTCAAAACGGCAGAATGGCTCAGGCCCCGAGCCTCTGCTGGCTATCTTGTCCAGAAGAGGGCAGAAGCTGGGGAGAAAGTGGAACCAGTTAATTCTGGCTGGCCTCTGGCTTCTCTCTCTATTGGAGGAAGAAGATTCTTAAATGGGAAAAGGTACAGGTGAAGGGGGCAGTGAAGCCAGGACAGGGGTGGACGAGTAACAAAGCACACCAGTGCCTTGAAAGCCTGATGGTGTCCAGGCCCCAAGGCCACACAACCTGCTGCATTCCACCACCTGCAGAGTGAGCGAGGAGCCGGCGGGCAGCTCCGGGCGGCACCCAGAGTACAGGTGGATCCTGAAATACCAAGTAATTGTGCAGCCAATACCCTGGAACAAATGGTTGCACAGCGCTGCAATCACGGAGGGAGGGAAGCAGTGATCCGCAGGAGCTGCTAGAAAACATGTCATGCTGAACTACTGTTTTCTGAGGCTTTGGGTGGACACATCAGGAGAAAGATGTACAGTGCACGTTTTCCTTCAACAAGGCACCCGACTGAAACTTCTGTAATATATTTTTACAAGATTTTACTTACTTTATAGAGAGAGGGGAAGGGAGAGAGGGAGAGAAACATCAGTGTGTGAGAGAGGGCGACTGGCTGCCTCTCACACGCCCCCAACTGGGGAGCCTGGGCCACAACCCAGGCATGTCCCCTGACCGGGAATCCAACCTGCGACCTTTTGGTTTGCAAGCCAGTGCTCAATCCACTGAGCCACCCTAGTCAGGGCAAATTTTTGTACTATTCTTATGAACATGAAAGGAAGCTACTGCAGGCAGGACGACAGGCTCACGGGGGGCTGAGCTGAACATGCCTGCACCCGGGTGCCGAGACCGTGCTGTCTCGGTGTGCTGCCACCAGGTCACCCAGGGAACCTCAGGCCAGCGGGCTCCTCCGTGGAGGCTCACGCTTTCTCTACCAGAACGTCTTAGTTTTCACTGCAAAGATCATCTTTAAAAAAAGGACAAATGCTGGAGATCGCTGCTGCTTCCCCCAGATCTGCACATCTCAGGGCCGTGTGTTTACAGCTGCACCAGTGCCAAGCGGCACCACTCTCACTGCGTGGGCTGAGGGCCACGGGATTCTGCATGACTGACTCATGATACGTCTGTGCAATGGGAGGGATGACAGCTCCTCAGAGCTGGGAAGAAAAGCGTGGGAGGACGGTGTCTCTGTGCACCAGACACTGTGAGGTGGGCAGGCGGAAGTCAGGGAGCCCAGGGTGTCAGATCTGCACTGCGCTTACGCTGAGAGCAGCGAGTCAGGTTCCAACCCATGTCGTCCTCACAGAACGATGGGGCCAGTTTGAATTTTACTGGCTTTTTGGTAGTTATTCAATTAATTTCAGAGGAGCTAGATCAATGAGTTGATGCACAGATTTATGTGTGTATATAATTAAGTTGTAGTGTTATAGTGAAAACAATCTCAGTTGACTCAAAAACATTTTTTTTTTAGAAAAGTGTTCAAACTATTCACACCATGAACCACAGTTATACAAACAATGTACGCAGAGACCCAGGGCACACGCACACCCACAAATGCACACACTCACACACCTCCCTGCCCTGTGCTCACCCAGTAAGTTTCCAGAAACAAAGTCTGCCCTTACTACATGTGACAGGCTGATATTTCTCTATTCTATTTCATGTTTTTAAACGCTAGTTTCATGCCCAAGAAGCTGGAAGATGAGGCTTTAGAGCAATCTAACCACCTCCCAATTTTGGGAGACCCCAAGGACCTGGCAGGCAAGTTCAGCTTGCAGGTGTCACAAGACCGAGGAGGACTGTAAACACGGTGGGTGTCGGCACTGGGTTCACAGAGACCTTAAGAAACTGGTGTGTGTGGGCGGGTCCAGGTCGCAGTGAGGGTCCTCCGCGGGGAGGCGGGGCACTCCTCTCCCAGCCCTACTGCCCTGCCTTGTCCCACGGGGGGGATGTTATCCTCGTGATTCCAGGAGGCGCCGACAATTGATATGAGAGGCATTAAGCATACAGTGGGTAATCAGTAAATGGTGGCTTTAAACTTTGAAGTTGAATAAATTCTGCACTTCAGGCTTTTTTAAAGTCACATGTATATAGAACAGGAAGATGGAGCTTAATAGTGAGTCACACAAAAAAGCCCCAGCGGTTTCAACTCAAAGCAAAATGGGAGCCGACAGAATCGACATGCGGTTGCCAAAAAAGCTACTGCAATTTTGGACCACGTTTCCAAAAGTTCAATCACAGAAGAAAAATAACAGTCCTAGTGTGTTCTGCACACTTGAGCCACATCTGGAGTGTCACATTTCATCCTAGGGGTGCTCTGAGAGGGGGCGGGGCCTGTGATGGGAGCTGGTTCGGAGGCAGCAATGGCGGTGACCCGGATGCCAGAGCAGCCACAGTCACCAGGGTCTTTATTCCATCCCTGGGTTCAAAGGGTGGAACCGAAACTTCAGGGTAGAAATTTCAAGAAGGCATATTTCAGATTAATACAGGGAAAGCGTTCAGAAGATGGAATCGGTTGCCTTTTGAAGTAATGTTCTCCCTTCCCTGGAGCCATTTAGCCAGAGGCAGAATGTGTGTCCTTCCGAGACAGGATGTCTAGGTAGGGTGGAAGGGTGGCAAGTTGGACTGAATCACCCTTTAAGATTTTTACAATTCTCAGACCATGCTACTGATAAAAACACAAGATGAAAAAAAAGCCCACACGATGAGCTAGTTGCTGGCAGGCCTGGGAAGGGAGGGCAGAGGCTTTCCCAGGGGCCCCTTGGGCCCAGGCTCACTTAGCTAAACCTGGTGAATGACTCTCCCTGAGACATCTTCTGTTAGGGGCGGAAGGACATTAGCACAGGACAGAGTGCAAACGAAATGAAAACTGGCCGAGAGCCTCTTACTCATCTCCCTTCCCCATCTCCCTCTCCCTCTGCAGTCGTTACTACCCTGGACTCAAACCTTTTGGAGGCCGGGCTGGGCTCTGAGTGAGCCTTCGGTTGGGAAGCTACAGCAGAATGGATTGAAGCAAGCTGCAGACCGCTGGTGCTCCACGTAGCACCGTCTCAGTTTGGTTTCATTTTCCTCCCCAGCTGGCTCTGGAAATACTCCTCTACTCTGCAAACCAGCATTTCTAAGTATTTCTCCCAGGACCACTCAGAGTTTTGTGGCTCCTGTGCTGCAGACCTGGGCAACCAAAACTGAGACCCACGGATCTCCCTGCCATTGTATCCTGAGATCAACAGAGCTGCATCCTCAGACTGACCGTGAGAGGGAAACGAGAAGCGTTTCCAGTTGGTGTTTGGAAACGAAAAGTGGTTAAGAAACGGTGCAGGTACGGAACTACAAGACTATGATCAAAGACTTGAGAACCTCATTAATTTGGAACCTTATATTTAAACTGTGTACTCTGGACGTAAATTGTGCTGAACTTTCCCCCATTTTAATTGTGTCATTTGCTCTTAACAGCAGTTTACATCCAGTCACTGAGACCTACATTTAGCAACACTGGTAAGGGGGGGGGGGGTGGCTGCATATTCTTGAAAGAAAAGGCAGCATTTCTCTCAGTTCTATCATCCAGGTTGGCTAAAACTCTCCCAGCAGAGTCCCTTGGCTGGTGAAGTTTTACAGTGATTTACTATACAAGCAAGAGCAGCTCTCTTTGGCTCCAAGGAAAACATCCAGTGCCTGACGGGACCGCGCCTGTCTTTCCTTTCCCTGTACTGGAAGCCAGTTTAATTCTAAGGCCATGAGTAAAGCATCCCCTGAGTATCCAGCTCTTGGTAGACAGACAGAGAATTTATCTCCACCTCTGTCCCCTCCAGTTATAGCCTTCTCTTCCTCTGTCCTTGGCCAACTGCCTGTCCCCTCATTTCTCACTTGTGTATACCCCTAGCAGTGGCACTGGGACTCTCACCCTGGCTCTCTGCCTTTACTCACAGGTCACCAGTGACCTCCTCAGTACTAAAGCCAAGAGACCCTCTTCGGTTCTCGACCTCTGACCATTCCTACCTCCTTGAAAACACCATGGGCTCTGGCTGGTGTGGCTCAGCGGACTGAGCACCGGCCTGCAAACCGAAAAGTCACCAGTTCAATTCCCAATCAGGGCACGTGCCTGGGTCGTGACAGGCACGTGAGAGGCAACCAAACTGTGTTTCTCATACATTGATGTTTCTCTCCCTCTCTTCTTCCCTTCATTCCCCTCACTCTAAAAATAAATAAAATCTTAAAAAAAAACCCCACAACACCATGGATTTTCTTCTGCCTCTGTGGTCTTCTCTCCCCCTCGTGGATTCCTTTTCCTTTTGCCACCCCTTAAATGCTGATGTTTCTCAGAATCCCTCCTTCTCAGCCAACACCCACTCCACGAGTGACCGTGCCCACAGACATGGCTTCAGGTATCTTCCATAGGTTGGCCGTGCGTGGCCGACGTCTCCTCCGAGTGCAGACCACATCCGTCCAGCGCTCGGTGCGCCTTCCGCTCGGGCTGCCCACAGGACCCCACACTGAGCTGCGGCTTCGCCCACGCTCGCCCTCGCTCTCTAGTCCCCAGCCACAGGGGCCTTCCTCCAGACCCCGGAGGAGCCTCCATCATCTGCTGCTGCCCTTTCCTTGCTTAGGGCTTTCTCCTCTCCTACTAGCTAACGCCTACTCGGCCAAACTTATCGACAGTCCAGTATGTGACAGGCAGGGGACTTCCTCACAGGGGTCTTCCAGGCCCCTGAGATGAGAGGAGGCTGATGCCTCTGCTAACACTGACCACCCATTACATAATGACAGGCTAACGTGCCTCTCGTGCTCTGGGAGGCCCCGCAGGGTGGACCAGGTCTGTCTGCTGAACAGACGCGCTGGCCCAGCACACAGCAAAAGCAGCCCTTCTTGGCTGAGCGCATGTCCGGTTAAACCAACCTCTTCTCTAGTATTTCCAATCACAGTGAAACCTGAGCGCCGCCCTCACTGCCCATCAGTCATCAAGTCCTTACGACTCCACCTCTTAAACACGAGCCTCAGTGCTCCTCAGTGCTGGCACCACTGTCCTGGCATTAAGCACCGTCAGCTCAGCCTGAAATGCTGCCCAAAGCCGTCAGAACAGCTTCCCAGCACTGGCCTTGCCCCTCTTATCCAGCCTCCATAATCTGGTCAGAAGAATCTTTTATTTTTTTTAGATTTCATTTATTTATTTCTTTAGAGAGAGGAAAGGAGGGAGAAAGAGAGGGAGAGAAACATTGACGTGCAAGAGAAATATGAACATTGCTTCTCACACACCCTCAACCACGGACCTGGCCTGCGACCCAGGCATGTGCCCTGCCTGGGACTCAAACCCAGAGACCTTTCGGTTCACCACCAGCGCTAAATCCCCTGTGCCACACCAACCAGGGCAGAAGAATCTTTTCATGATACAAATCCCATTCAGCCATTCCCCTGCTTAAACCCTGCAAGAGCTTCCAGTTGATATGATGATAAGCTTATAGAGGCCAAAACAATCTGCCCTCCCACCTCCCCTCCCCGCTCCACCTCTCCCGCTTTCTCTCCTGCCTTCTCCACTTCCTCAGCTATGACAAGCCCTCGCTCACTTGGAACCTAAGCATGCTCTCCTCCACTTGTCTACCCGCAGTCCTCCTTTGGAGCTCATTTATAACTCACTCAGGAAACACTTTCCTCTTCCCTCCCACCCCAACAGGTGTGGGGCAAAGGCTGCGCCAGTGTACAGCAGCAGGGCACCCTTCACAGCGCCCCACCGCACGGGCGGGAGCGGGTCTCTGTCCTGGGGGTCTTTCCACAGATCGACACCGGGAGCACCGCATAACAGGAGGGACCCGGAAGCCTTGGCTGTGGACTAGGGGCTGTTCTGCGGGCCTTTCACTTGAGCCACAGGGAAGGAGCGAGAAAAGGGACAGAAAGAAATACCACAACAGCAGGCTTCATGAAGCTCTCTTCCCTCTGGGACGGAAACTTGGCTCAAACTCTATATGCAGGCCTTGTGGGTACTCAGCTTTTCGCCCCCTAAGGTTCCTACCATCCCAGCCATGGCTTTCTTGGCCTCCTGCTCTGGTATTTCGCCTGGAGGAATTTCACTCCACACAAACAGTCCTCCTGCTGTCTATTTTGGTCAGCGCAGCTGGGCCTGGAGCCAACAAAACAGTTTTTAAGCCTAGTCTTTCCCAGTTGCCTGGCCTGGAAGAATTCGGAGCTCATAAGGGAAAAGCAAGCCAGGCTGGTTTTAGAGAACAAAGTTGGGCCTCAAAGCGAGTTGACAAACGAGCCCAGAGAACCAGCTTGTGAACGACTCCGCAACGACTCTGAGCGTTTCAGAGAAGCAAATTTCCAGCCACCACAATAACCTTAGAAAAGAGCTCAATAACAGCAAAAGGAATTTCTTTGTCTTTTATTAAATAGGAACAACTCGGGGTGACGGCTGGCTAATGCCACTCGCCAGAGGAAAGTGAATGAAGAACGGAGATCGCGTCTCCACCCAGGCACCTCATCCAGCCACCCAGTCGTCCTGACTCTGAACTTTGACCCCAGCCTCCACCCAGGACCCTGATGTGTGTCCACAATTTCATCAAGAAGTTAAAATCCCCTTCATTAGCTAAGATCTATTATGTCTCTTTTTCTCAATGAAAAACTCCTTGCAAGTGTCTCCTGTACTCGCTACCCCAAATTTCTCTCCTGCCTGTCTTTCCTGAACCTGCTCCAACCAGGCAGCCCCTGCCCCATCCACACACAGAACCTGTGCACACACCACTGACCTCCACCTTGCTAAGTCTAAGGGTTAGTTCTTAGGCCTCATCTTCTGAGTGGAGCTTCTGACAGCTGACCCGTCTTCCTCCCGGAAACACTTTCTTCACTTCGCTCCAGGACACACTTGCCAGGCTGGCCTACCTCTTCTAAGACGTCCTTTGCTGGGTCCTCCCCAACTCTCGAATTCTAAATGGTTGGGCTGCCCTCGGGCTCTATCTCAAAACCTGTTTTTCTTCAGTTTACACATATTTCCTGGGTGATTTCATCGAGTCTCGTGGTTTTAAAAACCAGTAACATATAGGTTCCACATAATGATGACTCCCAAATTTGTCTTCAGATTTGCATATCTGACTACTGGCAACTGCATTAATAAGCACCTCAAGTCTAATTAGCCCCAAACAAGCCTACTGATCTCTCTCTAATTCTGTGCCTCCATCGAAGTCCCCGTTGCAGTGAATGACACTTCAGCCCTCCAGCTGCTCAGCCCTGAAGCCGTGGGAGTCACCCTTCTTCTTTCCCACACTCTGCATTTGAGTCAGCCAACCCTTCAGGCTCTGCCTTTGACACATACTCAGAATCTGACTGCTTTTGCCACCACCTCTGCTCCTCACCTGGTTCAGGTCCCCTACCATCCCAGCTCACCTGTGGAACTGCGAAAGCCTTCTTCCTAGCTGGGCTTCTCCCCTTGTCCCTGTTTGCCTGTTCTCCACGTGCATCTGGTGAGACCCATCCAACTTAGGTCATTACATGATTTCTCTGCTCAGAGTCCCCCTGTAGCATCCCAGCTTCACGCAAAGAAAGAGCCGAAGCCCTGTGGGACCTGTCTCCCCTGACCGCTCCACCCTATCACTCTCCTCCCTGCTGGCCCTGAACGTGGCAGATATGGGCACGTTCTCGGGGTCTTTGCATTTGCTGTTCCCTCTGCTTCAGTTTTCACCCTCTGCCCCTCACCCCAGATTAAGTATGCCTCGGTCCTCCCCTCCTTCACAGTTTCACTCAAATGTCACTTCTCACTGAGACTTTCCCCACCACCCTATATAAGCCGCAGTGCTCACATTCTCCCTGTCCTTTATCCTGCTTTTCTCCTGATTATTTCTCACTGTCTAAAATCTAGTTGTTATTTATTATGTCCCACTAAGAGGTAAGCTTCCTAAAGGCATGGACGTCTCTCCACTGTACTCACTGATGTACCTCCCTACCTGGCACATAGTAGGTGCTTAATATATATTTGTTGAATGGATGGATGTGTGAAGCCTGGAGACAGCAGGGTGGGAGAGCCTGCATGGGGCTTAGGAACCAGAGGAGAAAACCTGCAGACTGCACATCCTGGCACTCAGCTGGGATCTGCTCACCAGGTCGGCTCAGCTACTCCAGCCCCAGAGGGAACTCTGAACCCATCTCACCTCACACAGGATGAGTCCAGTCCTGCTCCTGGACAAATACTGCAAAGCACATGTGTTATCATCACCACACCCCAGGAACCACACTTCAATGCTGCTTTCAATTACCATGTTGGACGGAAGTTCTTTTCCAAGTAAGGTAAGATGATGAGGGTACCTCCTATATGAATACCCCTTATCTGTCTCCACCCTGAATTCCTCTCCCCAAAATGTGACTGTCACTAGCTACTATGCACGCTGACTGGGTCACACTCTGAATATTGGAAGGGACTCTGGAGAGTGGGAACACAGGGCAGCAGGGAATGCTGAGAACTCTTCACTCCCAGAGAAGCAGTCCCAGGAATGGTGCAAAGAGTACTGGTCCTCAGATTTCTGTCTTGGAGCCTGGCTGGTGTGGCTCAGTGGATTGAGCACTGGCCTGTGAACCAAAGGGTCGCCGGTTCAATTCCTGGTCGGGGCACATGCCTGGGTTGCAGGTCAGGTCCCCAGTAGGGGGTGTGCAAGAGGCAACCCACATATTAATGTTTCTCTGTCTCTTGCTCCCTTCACCGCTCTCTAAAAATAAATAAATAAAAACCTTAAAAAAAAAGAATTCTGTTTTGGAGAACAGGAGGAAAAAGAAACCAAAATATACTCCCCCCCCCACACACACACACAAAGGGTATCAGTATGTAAAACGCATGCTTCCTCTGCTTTGGCACATTTCTTTGTGAGTCAGTCAATGCCTGGGCTAAGATCAGCTTCTGAAAAGAGTGGTGACTTCATTTGTCCTGGGAAGAGAGGGTTGGCTTACCAATTACGTTTTGAAGGTTGGGAAAGATTTTGGTCTGTTCTTAGGTGAATCGAAGACTTCCAATTAGACACTGCCCTGGAGCAGAACTATTCCACTTCCAATCCCATGGCCCTGCCTGCTCCCTCTTCCTCTCTATTCACACTCTCCAGAGAGGCTGCTTTGTGACTCCACCCAGTCCCACAGGAGAGGTAACAGATAAGCCAAACAGGAAGCTCTAGAAAGAGGACGTTTGGAAACATGCAGGCTGTGCCTCCTGGTTCCTGGGCCATTTTCACCCTGTGGCTGAGATGAACAAGGCCACCTCATGACCTAGGGACAAACTGGCATCTCAGGGCCCTGCGCATCAAAAATAAGTCACCCAAGCTAAAC